ATGTACAGTGTGTCATGCAAGTAAACGATTTTATAAAACATTCTTGCTTTCATGTTATAGCTGAATGAAGCAACATCAGATAAAAATTTGCAAAATTTACTTCAAGAGGATACTTCCCTGGAGATACTGACAGTAATTGGCTACAGAGGCATCCCTAGTCGTGCAACACTGAAGTCAAAACCAGCTATAAGTTTGTTGAGTACCTCACTGTTAACTTTGTCTGTGAAGGCTCCTTAGACTCCTTACTTCAAATGAAATCCTTATTATTCTTCAGAAAGATCTACTGAAATGTATCTACTCTGTACGTGAAAGCCAATTAATTCAACTCTAAAAACATTTTTGTAGCTGTTATTGTCAGGTCTGCAAGTTACATTGTATTGAATGTTTTGTACCACCCCAACAACTCAAAAAGCTTTAAGTGACCCTCAGTTGTGAAATTCTTCCTTTAATACATAAAGTGTAATTCACTATCACATGCACTTGTACAAGGCAAACTGTAAGACAGGAGAATCTAACAGGTTTTTAGAAGTCATATGGGACTCCACTTTTTGCAAACCTAAAAAAGTTAACCATATGATTATACTTCCAATCCTTGCCTGTAGGTCCCTGTTGCTGAAGAGCTTTTTAGAGCCAAAGATTGCCATGATTGAGCAAATGGCCCAAGGTTTAAGCCTATTTGGAGTTCTTGATATGATGAGAAAGCATAGCTCACTATTGGCAAGTGTGTTCACGTTTGAGGGATGGCACGATATTACCTCTGAAGAGTTAATACACCTGATGGTCCCCCAATACAGTGATGAAGGTACAAAGATGAAGAACTTGGAAATAAATGTTTTCAAACATTTAATGGATTTTATCACCTCTCTGCAATATGCAGGTAAAGAACTAACTTACTTAATATGCAACCCATACTATCCATCAATTCTATAAATTGTAGTTTGTTATACTAACACAATATGTTATGTCAGTGCTGGCCATCAGTTGTGTGACACAGTTATTGAATTCTATCCTATTCTTGGGTGGATTATTTTCATACATATCCCTGTTACATTTGCCCAATGGACTATTAGTGTGTATTGTTTTTTGACCTTCAAAACAACACAAAATTCTATCAGGCAAATGTGACGCCTGTACGCTTATGCTTCCTATAAAATCCACCTCCCTCTCCCCTTAAAAATTTTAAATGCTGATTGGTGGAGATAACAAATGAACATGGTACATATATTGTTTACTCTTACTTAATGGTAATTCATTCATGTTTACTCTAATTCACTGCATAACAACTTTTTTTCTCAATTGATTTCTTATTAGAACCAAAGGAACATGGAGTCTCTGTGAAGGATGTCATGAAGTTTATCACTGGTACAAACAAAGTGCCACCCTTAGGGTTCCCAAAACATATCAATGTTTCCTTTCTTCATGGCTGCAAAGAAAACTGCAGGTGCAGACCAACCTCATCAACCTGTGAGTTGACAATGTACTTGCCAGTACATTACCAGAGTTATGGAGCTGTAGCAGACATATTCATGTCTGCATTACGAGATTGTCAAGGCTTTGGTAAAATCTGAGCTACAGTGTAATAGGCAAGACTAATTTTAAAAACAACGAACTGCCAGAGATTCATGTTTATACTTTTATTCAAGTCACATTATTTTGAATATTGAACAATACTTTTCTGTGAAAATTAGAGATTGATCAACATAATTGTATGGACATTTTGATATACATTGCAAGTTCGTTTCGTTTTTTGACATATTGGCCATGTTCCAATTTAAGCGTTTGTAAAACAAAGCCGTTAGTGAGTTTTGTAATTCAAAGACATTGAGGTATTTTGTTGCATGACAAATAACAGTAATTCAGTTTGGGGTTAAAAGTTGATTTCATTATTCAAGTGTACTTTTTTTTTTTGCTTGAGACCACAAGGATTGTGTGTGCAATGACTGGAAAAAGATGAAAGTAAGAAATGGCTGCATGTAGAAACATGCAGAAAGCGCACTATGGAGTTATTCCTCACACTGGTTCATTATATGTTTGTATCTCACTGATGTTAAAACTATTGCAGTTTTGGTCCAACCTATAACATTACAAAAGCAGTTTACAGGACTTCCTGTTTAGATATGTACTGTTGTTAGTGTCCTTCAATCAAACATTGGTTTATACAAAAAGATTGTGCATGCAACAGTACACAATTTCTAGTCTTTGACTGTTTGTAACTTGTAACTACTAATGAGAAAACTACTTTACAGTTTTCATTAGAGTTTGAAAGCATTCACTTTTATATACGTTTTACTGTTTTATATCATTAAAGGTTCAACAACCTTGAAATCTTGATAGTTAAAACATTACTCACAAGAGTGATCAAATATAGTTATTGACGTCACTGGTTGTCTGGTATGCTCTTTTAATATTATTTTAACTACCAGTACTTAAGAGGACTTTGGTCTAAGAAATATGAAGAAATTAGAATTACTCAGCCACAATAATTTTGCTCACACATCCT